GCTATGACAGCAGCCAAGAGACAAGCCTGCATCAACCCCAACCTGCAGGATCACACTGTTTATATAAAGACCTGCCCTGTGTGTATTTCGGGGGAAACCGCAGTCATCTTTCTGCTTCTGTTCCTGTCAGAAGAAAGGAAGGAAGGATAAATCTGAAAAACAGAAATAAGCTGAGGTGTCACACAGTCTTTAACTATTGCAGACGTTGCAGAGATCACCAAGATGGAGATAAGGAGCAAATGAAGAGTATGATGATAACTTATAAGGTAAAATATGAGGAAAATATGACTCCTTAAAGGAAAGCTGCCTTCATTTCTCTCAAACAAGGCATTGTGCAGAAAATACTCAGAAAAAAATCAGCCTCCATTTTCAAAGCGTGTTTAGTAAATTTCAAGATTTGCAGTCATTTGTGCTCAGGAAGTTGGGGCTGCACCCTTGGAGTTTTAGAAAATGGAAGTGCAATCCCGCCATCTAGTGGATTTCTTCAGTAACACCATCTTATGAAACGGTTTAATTCAACACTGCAGTTGTGCAATACCAAACAAAGTAACACGTGTTTTTCATGCCTCTGCCTTGCTGAACTTTTGGGAAAAAACAGACATATCCCTGTTCTGCTTCTGCAGCACCAGACAAGTAGAGTAGTTAGATAGTATAGCCTAAGCTTGGAGAGACAGTCGAGAGGAAAAGATTGTAATAAAAATAGATTAACTGTGCTGTAAAATAATGTTACAGAGCAGGAAAGATATAATCCCCATGGGAACATTACTAGCATAGCCTATTAAGCACAAGTAGCTTAATGAGGAGTAAAAATGTACTTAATTTGCAGCATTAAATCTGCCGAACCAATAAAAATACTTTAAGGAACCAAAGCGACCAAAACTAACTTGATATAGCAGATATTTTATGTTTTTACAAATAATACTGTCCATTTTTGAATGTGTTTAATTATTTAACAAATAAAAAAATTATAATTATTAAAATCCATCCATGCATCTTCTCCTGATTCATCTGTCAGGGTCACAGTGGGATTGGTGCCTATCTCCAGCAGTCTATAGATACACCCTGGACAGGTCACCAATCCATCACAGGGCAAGGTATGGCAAGAAACTGTTCACACTCACACCTAAGGGCAATTCAGAGACGCAAATATACTTAACAGTAATGTTTTTGGACTGTAGGAGGAAGTACACATACTCCGGGAGGAGTACTGAGGAGAACCCTTGCATGGACGGGGAGAACATAAAAGCTTCATGGAGAGAGACCCAGGGCTGGGAATCAACCAATGACCTTCTTTCTCCTATGAAACTTTTATTATTATTATCATTTTTCTATTTAATTTTTTTTAACTATATTTGAGGACTTTAAACCAGCCAAGCTTAAAAACAGATTTGTTTTGTTAGGCCTATATCAATATTGCCAGATCATATCAACGATCAGTCAATTGGTTAATATGAATTGATGGGGATATCTGGGTAGCTTGTTATTTTATTTTTACAATAGTGGGAAAGAAAACACTGTTTTCATTTCCTGATGACATTTTCCAACAGTATGACACTCAGTTTGCAAAAGCTCTAATCATAAAAAACTATTTCTTGGACATTTTGTAAGCTTTCCCACCAAATACCTAATCCACCCACTACATTTTCAAAAGAGCATCTTTGTTATACAATGGAAATGGAGGTATAGATGTATGATATGCAGCCGACAGATCTGTGTGTGATGCTGATATGTCACTATTGACCCAAACCATCTAGATATAGGATTTAGATGTGGTACATCATATTATTTTTAAGAGTTAATTTCTAATAAATTGTCCAAATGATAATTCAAAAGGTATTGTCTGGATGAAATATCTAGCTGCATGAGCAGATAATTTCATTTTTTGTTTTATCTTGTTCTCAGACTCCTCTTTTTTGTATTTTAATTACAGAATCGTTATGAAATTTTACCTGTGGAAGTAGTTGTGAGACATCACCGTTAGGTGGCAGTGTGTCCTTTGTGAACCATGGTGGCTAAACACAATCACTGTGCAAAAGAAGGTGGGTTTCTTGAATCCGATACTTAATATATAATAAATATAATGATAATGTCATACAATATTATTATATAATACTATAAAATATAATAATGCAAATATAAAATAACATAGTATTTAATATGTCAGAGTTTACATTTCTTTTATGTTTATGCATTCAGCTTTCTGATACATTTAACAATGTGGCTTAGATAAGTTATCAGAAAGCACTGCAAAGAAACACTAAACAAAATAAAGCACTCAGATTAGAAAACATAAACAAGACAAATCTGGAAATAAAAAACTATTCAGGAGAAGAATAGTCCTCTACTGTAAAAAGTACACTTAAAACCTAAAAAGACTAAATGGCTGTAGGCACAATAATTTAAGTCAGTTCAGAAATACAAGGTATGGCAATCTTTAACATTACTGAGTGAGTTTTCATTTCTTTATTCTTTAAATGATAAGTTATTTTAAAAGTTCTGCAAATGTTCATGCTTTTGTTATAAAATAAGAGATAATTAACTCTTGAAGTTTGATTTTTAGTTAGGGACTCTGTGTTTGATTCCTGCTTAATTTCAACAATACAAATTGCTGCTTAAGCGATATTTCATAATGAAATAACATTTTACTTTCTGTTCAATGAGAATCAAGCTTTTTGTTTCTGAGTGTCAGAACATTTACATCTTTGACCCCTAAAATACCGCTGTTACAGAGACTTGTAACATTTACAATGTTATTTCACACTATATTCAGAAAATCATCATTGAAGTTATATTCATTGATTACTATAGATTTATATTAATAATTCAATAAGATATTTAATAATTATCTAATTTAACATAACATTACGTAAAATGTAATTTCTGAATACTTATGCAAAGGTTTGTTGAATTATTTAATTGTTAATTTTTAAAGTTTAATTTTGTATTTCATTATTTTAATATTTATTACATAAATAAATAAAGGAATAAAGAAAAGCTACATCTGCTTAGTTTGTTATATATTTTGGCCCTCCGTATACATCAGCGTACACATCACAATGATTATGAAGACCATACTGCCATCCAGTGATGTGCATATTTCCAAATGTATGGAGTAGCAGCTGACACCATTTGCAGAACAAAATATTATATATATATCTACCAACGATATAGATCAGGGATTTCCAAACATTTCATGTATGACCCCCCACAACAAATGCATATTGCAACAAAATGGAGACCCCTTAAAAATACATTTAATTGATATGTATTTATGAAATTATCTTTTCATCAAAAAGAATGAGTTACACAATCAAACCAATAATTTTATCAAGTTTAGAGTGACAGTCATTAGTTCGAACGAACAGCTACACGTTACACTTTTTCAGTGTAGAAGCTACAAGAAGCTACACTAACGGGAATAAAAATCAAACATGTTTGATTTTCTCCCGACTTCAGGATTTCTGATCAGGGGGTGGTCGTGAGAGGCTGATTGCCCCTTGTTACCCCCTGTACACTACATGACGCGTAATGAGGCTGAAAGTCGGGCTGTTCGGATAATTATCGCACGACTGGAGAGTCGCCCCGAAAAGGGCAAAAGATCGCACAGTGTAAGCCTGGCTTTAGGTTAGGCTGCATTATAAGTCAGTCAGGGTGACTATGGCTAAGGTCACACTGCAGGCATTAATGCCTAATTTTTTTTTTTTTTGTGAAATCAGATTAATTTGCGTGGTTGTTCACGTTTCCAAAAATATGCAATTTCTATTCGTTCTATGTGAACTGCATTCATACAACATAAGCAATGACTTCACAAACAAGTATTCTCTGTGTTTAAAGAAGTGAACATTGATTGTAGTGCTGGAATGCATCTAGTGATCTTTCCCAACCTCTGTGCATTAAAAACACTAACTTTTAGAGATACTTGAAAATAAAGATTGCTCTCTGCATTATCGTCCGCCATGGTTGTTGTTTTCTTGCCTCTTCTGTGTAACAAGATGCAGAATAGTGACATTTGTCGAGTATTAATGGCGTACAGGTCGTATTAATGCGACCCGGCCGTTTAGACACAGGTCACGTTTGAAAAGATCAGATACCTATCGGATTCAGGGCCAAATAGCTAAGTGGTCTGGGTTGCACTGGAAAAAAATCGGATCTGTGCTTCTCAGAATGTCATAAAAAGATCAGACCCAGGTCGCACATATGCAAAAATATTGGATTTTGGTCACTTCATGCTGCTGTGTTAAAGTTGCTTCTGATTGGTGTATATTGTGTGTTGCCTTTTGTGGTTGGTTAGATTTAGGCACAATTAACTGATGGACTTTTCTATGAATGGCTCAGAATCTCAGTCAATCAGACTTAGTTGAACTATGCCAAGCTATATTGAGATAGTATGGAATGAGAAAAATGTGTGAGAAATGTCTTGAATGAATGTCAAACTGCATGACTGTCACACTCAATGCTTTTTAGACTTTGGTGATAAAGGTAAGCAGGGATAATGTAAACATACGACTGTATATTAGTTACAGTTCCAACATTCAGGGATTTTTTGTTGTTTTTTATTTTTGTTTGTTTGTTTTTTAAATAAATTTTATACAACATTCAGCAGTCTAATGGCAGTGGGGATAAAACTTTTCTGGAAACTGCTGGACCTGCTTCGGATGCTTCGAAGTCTCTTTCCAGAGGGCAGCAGGAAGAACAGACCATGTTTAGGGTGTGAGAGGTCATTTATAATGTTACGGGCTGTGGACACGCAGCACTGAAATCTCACCATTCTCCAGTCTGAGACGCTGCAGCCTCCACACCACACAGTGAGACAGCTGGTCAGAACGCTCTCTATGGTGCTTCTGTAGAAGGTGGTGAGGATGGGTAGGAGCAGGTGGGCTCTCCTCATCCTCCGCAAGAAGTACATGAGCTTTTGTGCCCTTTTGATGAGTGAGGTGGTGTTTAGAGTCAAGGTGAGGGTGTGATGTGCACCCTCAGGAATTTGGTGCTGCTAACCACCACTACAGCTGAGCTGTTGATAAGCAGTAGAGCGTGGTTGGACTGGTTCTCCTGAAATCAACAATAATCTCATTCGTCTTCTCCACGTTCAGGATCAGGCTGTTACCTCTGCACCAGACCACCAGCTGTTCCACCTCCTCTCTGTAGTCCTGGTCATTGTCATCTCTGATGAGGTTCACCACCGTCGTCTGCAAACTTTTTGATGTGATTGGTGGTGAACCTGGGGATGCAGTCATGTGTCAGGGTGAAAAGCAGGGGGCTCAGAACACAGCCCTGAGGGGAGCCTGTGCTTAGGGTGATGACATCAGAGGTGTCCTATCCGACCTGAACTGACTGAGGTCTGTCTGTGAGGAAGTCTAGCAGCCAATATCAGAGGGGTTATTGAATCCTAGCTGCTCCAGTTTGCCCATCAGATGCTATGGGATGATGATGTTGAAAGCTGAACTGAAGTCCAGGAACAGTATCCGCATGTGAGTGTTCTTTTCACGGTGTGCCAGGCTCAGGTGGAGAGCAGCAGAGATAGCGTCCAGAGTGGAGCGGTTCCGTAGATTGGTGAACTGGAATGGGTTGAATGTTGCCGGCAGAGAGAGACGGTGTGTTCTTTAACCAGCCTTTAGAAGCACTTCATCATGACTGAAGTCAGTGCTACAGGCCGGTAATCATTGAGTGATGTGACCTGAGGCTTCTTTGGGACCGGGATGATGGTGGCAGACTTGAAGCATGCTGGCACTACGGATTGGTCCAGCGAGGTATTAAAAATGTCTGTGAAGACACCAGCCAGCTGATCTGCACACTCCTTATATACCTGCCCAGGTATGTTATCAGATCCTGGGGCCTTCCATGGGTTGACTCTCCTCAGAGTTTTCCTCACTTCAGTTATGTCCAGGTTTAGTGCCTCCTCTCCCTGGTGTGGAACAGCTTTCACTGCTGAAGTGCTGTTTAGTGCCTCAAACCTTCCAAAGAAGTTCTTTAGTTCATTTAGAAAGTCAGTGTTTGCTGCATCTACCAGGGGGAGGGGTGTTGTAGTCTGTGATTGCCCAGATGCCTTTCATCAGGGTTGTTGGTTGGCCCGGGTGGTGATGTTCTTTTCGATGCTGACGTCCTCATGCATTTGATTATGTAGGCTGACACAGTCATGGCATACTCATCAATATTTAACAAGTTGTCACAGGTTGCTGCAGCCTTGCAGATGTTCCAGTCAGAGCATTCAAAACAATCTTGGAGTTTCTCCATGGCGCCCTCAGACCACACTCGGACCTCTTTAACTGTTGCTTTAGCCCTGATCAGCTGGGTCTTATATGCAGGAATAAGCATGACCGAGAGATGATCTGATGACCCGAGGTGGGGGTGGGGGGCTGCTCTGAACGCATCTTTGATGTTAGAGTAAACCAGACCTAAAGTGTTTTTACCCCAAGTTACAAAGTCCACATGTTGTGGAAAATGAGGGAGAACAGTCATCAAGTTAGCCTGGTTAAAATCTACAGCAATGATGAAAGCATCCTCTGTCTATGCAGATTGGAGCTCGGAGATAGCCTGCTATTGAGTCTTCATGGACTCTCTTGTATTAGCACTAGGGGGCACGTAAACAGCAGTAATGCTAACCACACTGAACTCTCTGGGTAGATAGAACGATCATCAGTTAACAGTAAGTAACTCGATGTCTGGAGAGCAGAAGCCGGCGACCGATCTAGCATTCTTGTACCAGCTGTTGTTGATATAAACACATAGCCTGCTACCTTGATTCTTTCTGCAGAGCTCTTTGTTTCTATTACTGTGGTATAGCATTAGCCCCTCCAGACAAATAGCATTGTCTGGTATTGCTGGATGCAGCCAAGACTCTATCAGAATGATGGTGCAGCAGTTACATATCTCCTTTTTTGAAAAGAGTTTGAGTAGGAGATTATCCATTTTGTTATCCCACGACGTTGGAGAGCATGATTGATGGTAGCTGCGGTCTGTGAGGATTTCTCCTTAGCTTCGCCATTAGCCCGGCTCTGCAGCCTCGGTTTCTCCATCTCGCACATCTCTTCCTCCGGCCTGGCCTGGTAATGGATCCCGGTGTTGTTTTGTATCCATCTGTCTGTTGCACTTCACAGCTTTTTAAACGGTCAAAAATGTTTGTTTTAAAAAGATTTTTTCACCTGTAATACTCCCTGTATAATCCGATTAAAGTTATTTATATGCATAAATCAAGCGGAACACTATGGTGACAGCTGTACTGCTCCACTTGTGAAAGCAAAATCTGTTGGGCCCTTTTTTGGCATCAAGACAAATATTCTTATTGCCACATTGCCAGACAGGACACTGTGTAAAAAAAATAAATAAGAATAAGATAAGTTCTTTTTATGGTGTATTCTGCTGACAATTCTTCAGACGATCACTTCAATAAATGTCACAACTTTTGTGAGAAGAAAAGATATATTCAGACATTTGAGAAAGAAAAGACCAAGAACACAAGTGAATAAAGGAAATCATATCCAACCAAAAATCAAGAGAAGAGATGTTATACAATATGCTCAGATATAACATTTTTATTTTGATGACTCTCTTGTCATTTATTCTCTCAAAGCCTTTTGCAAGCTTTGAAGATTATTCTTCTAGAAATTATATCCTTAAACATGCAGAATAAAAAGCTTAGTCAAATACAACAGAAGCAGTTTCTCAAAAGTGATAAAAAAGCTTACTGTGCAACTGTTCTATCGACACTCCATGTACAATAGATGGACAGAAGATATTTCATGCTTCCATCCCCATTAGCCCTTAGCTGCCTTTACACAATTGTCTGGGCGATTAGTCCTTTCTGAATGATACACTACAACATCTTTTCTGATCTAACACAGTTACGTGCTCCACCGGCTAACTTAACTATAATAGTACTTACCTTGTATGAAAACTCTGAGGATGTGTCACACTGGGTAAAGGTGTTTAATTGAAATGATGTCAATGACCTACCTCAATGAAAGGTCAAAGCCCCTTGTTTGAAGCTATTCTCCTGAAACAGATGGGGCTGCTTTCTAACACAACAAAGCCACAACATTTCATGTTGCATTAGTTACTGATTTCCTGGTGATGAAAAATTATCTTGACTTCAATAGATCATTAGGTATGATCCACAAACTACTAATAGCATCCACAGTTCAGTGTCTGAGGAAAGAAAACAACTGACTCTCCTTGATCTGAAACTTATATGCAAAAATATTTTCTGGTCTTATTAGTTTGATAATTTGTGTCCCTGTTGAAATATATAGATTTTCATAGTTTCCAATGTGAGAAAATTAAATCTGTTGCTGCCTACCATGCTGGAAAGGGTCAAACATTTTGAGGTTAATCTTTCTAAAGAGAAGAGCAATATTCACAAGAAAATGAGAGGCATTAGTCTTTCTTCCCAGAAGTGAACAGTCCAGCAACTCAATACAAGTCCAGAGCATGCAGTACTCAGGGAAAGTAAAAAAAACCAAGAGCTTCAACTCAGACCCTAGAATAGAATAAAATAGTAAAGAATAGAAAAGAAAATTCCTTTATTGTCCCACAATAGGGAAAGCCTGGTTTTTAGAACCCCAGTATTTTCCTAAAGGAGTAATCCCAAGGGAAAAATAAAGTTGAGTCTAAGTCTAAGCAAAAATATTATAGGAAAAATGGCCAAACAATTATATACCTCAAAAAAATGTATAAAAATATAGCATAATAGGCAAGAGTTAAAAGAAAACAATTAAATACTGTCCTGTAAAGTTTTTTACCAACATAAAACTGTGCACCTGGAGAATACATAATCAATATACAGCTATGGACATACTTAGAGCAATGGATATTTGACAATAGCAGAACCATCAGAGATATGCAACAGATAGCTCCAAAGAAGATGGCTAATGTCTCAACAGTCATAGAAGGTCTTTAGGAGCGCCCCCTGCCCTCCATTAGACCTCAGTGTCCTGTACTGTCTCTGACACCTGCCTGATGTGGCAGTCAGGCAGGAGTCAGTGTCCTGACACCTGCTTGACTGCCATTTCTCTTCCCCTGGGATATGGGCCCGCTCTGTGGGCGGCAGCACAGCAGAGCTCCCTAGGGTGAGCAGCTGGTTCCGGGTGTAAACAAAGGGAGCCTGGTTAAACACTCTGGCTCCACACGCAAACACAACAAAAAAAAAAGGAATGAGAAACAGAACTTTGCAGAAAAACGTTAGCTGCATTATGTTAGACATGGTATGAGAAAGATACAAAGTCACACCAAAAATGAAAATAATAAAATAGATTGATGAAAGAATGAAAAACTCAGGAAAATAAACGGAGCTGCGGAAACAGGCTGCCTGCTCCTCGCTGGCACCAGTAAAGCTTACAGGCCCCAGTTAACATGACTTGAAGTTAATGATTGTGCAATTAGAAAAAGAAGGAACAGGTAGAGCTTTGCAGAATTGCATCTGAATGACCGCAACACCTCTGAAAAAAAAAAACACATTTCCTGCTGCTTCACTTTTCATGTTTCACATTTGTTTCTAGACAAGAGGTGCTAGCCTTGTATTAGCATGACTATGGCTTCCTCAACTGTCGCCCCTGATGGTGTTCCGTCTCTCTATAACTTTCCTTCTCCCTCTGTTCAATGTTCAGATATTTCTCTGCCACATTTAGTGATCATCTATCCAACACGTAGCTAAATCAGTATAAAGAATAAAGTTGAACTTCATAATAACCAAAACTTGTTTCCAATCGAATAATGTTATCTTTTTTAGAGTGGATTCAGGTACCAATGATTGAGAAGATGATTGCTCTATATAACTACAAATGTCCAAACTTAAGAGTGAGAGGAAACACAAAACTACCGACAATGTAAACAAACAAACAAAAAAGACCAGATAGTTAATAAAGCAGCTCACCTGTGATCATAAATCCTAAATTGAGACGTTGCAGGATTGATAAAAACAATCTTTGAATATTTTGCTACTACAGTATGTGTTTTCTTTTGATGTATACCTTGCAATTTGTTCAGACACAGTCTTTTGTAAGCTTTATATGTTGTTCTTTGAAAAAAATGCTTTTTCTTACAGATAGAACAATTGATTGAAACACCAATACTACAGAAGCAGTTTATCAAAAGTTATCAAAAAGCTTATTCTCAACATGCACAATGGACGGCATGAAAGGTATTTCATCTTCCCTCACCATTAACATTTTAACTGCTTATACATAAAAGTGTGGGTCATAAATCCTTTCTGAATGTTAGGTTATA